GTGGAATTTTAGTAATTAGTTTATGTGAGCCATGAGATGAAAAAGGTTTAAAATTGCTACTCTACACTAAGGACAAAATAGCAGCTGCCCGCTGCTGGAGAAAGGTACACAGAAGCTAACTATAGCAACAATAAAGCAATAAACACAGCTCAACTACTGACTAGATAATCTCTCTGAAATTTCAGTTCTCATGTCGGCTGAACAGAAGAATAAGCCTGCCCATTTTCAAGAGTAACTATTCTTTTATATAGTTTGTATGGTCAGTCTATAGACAATGTCTGGCATTCAGGCAAAAATTACAAAATACGTGAAAAACAACAACCCATTTTCAAGAGATAAGGCAATCAATAGACCCAGACCCAGAGATGACTCATGTTGAAACTATTAGACAGGGACTTTAATTGTGATCAATGTATTAAAGAATCTAGTAGAAAAGGTGGGGTAATATGCATGAATAGATGAGGAGTTTTAGCAGAGAAATATAAATTATAAAAAGAGTCAGGACCAAGCTGCAGAATAAGGAGCATGTGATTGAGGCCCTGTGCAGAGCCAAGTTCAAGTTTCCTGGCCACCAGAAGATCCACATCTCTAAGAAGTGGGGCTTTACTAAATTTAATGCAGATGAATTTGAAGACATGGTGGCTGAAAAGCGCTCATCCCAGATGGCTGTGGGGTCAAATACATCCCTAACCATGGTCCCCTGGACAAGTGGCAGGCACTGCACTCATGAGAGCCTCAGTGCTGCCCCCTCCTTACACCCACCAATAAATCCTACTTCCTGAAAAAAAATTATAAAAAGAGTAAAATAGACATACTAAAATAAAAAATATGACATCCTAGGTGAAGAACTCCTTTGACAGGCTTATCAACACACTGGACACAGCTGAGCAATGAATACATGAACTTGAAAATAGGTCAATAGAAATTGTCCAAATTGAAGCACGGAGGGAAAAAATTATGTGAAAAGAAAAAGGAGTGGAAAAGTATGGCATAACTTTTCAAGTATCTAGTTATTCCTGTTGATGGACAGAGAAAGTCAGCACCTGCCCCTATGCTGTCATTGCCATTTCTCTTCATTCATGTTTGTGTTCCTTAACCTGTTAACTGGGGAATTCCCTTTTTACTGTATGCAACGTTTGACGTATTTATACGTCCCGCTCGGTTAACAGGTTAATGCTTCTTCTAGCTTCTTTCTGCTTCTGACTTTCACAATGGTGAGGGAAAGCTACACCCAACTTTCTAGAAGAAAGCAAGGTTCTTTCGCGGAACTTAAAGACTACTTCCTAGGAGTTCAGTGAGAAGGTGCTTTGAATTAAACTGTGTCTCAAAATTATGTCTCTAAAGAGCCCCATCCAGTGGTATCTGGATATGACTGGTGCCTTATTTTTCTTCTCTTTTAGAATGAGTTTCCTAGGAATATCCCTACTCCAAATAGTAGTATCATTTGCTTCCTCCCTCTTTTTTTTGAGAATGTTAGTCTTTCAATCCCAGGTGTTTGCTGTCAGCCCCAGAGACATCTTTACTCATTTTTTTTGACAGCCAAGGAAGATCCTGAGGCCCACCGATGTTCCCTGATGTTTCACAGAAGACTCCAGGCACTGTTATAAATTAGTGTAGAAATATTCTAGGAAACATATTTAAAAAGCATCCTCCCTCTACTCTTTCTCCATTCACTCATTTACCCTTCATCTCAACCTCTGAAACACCCATATAACCCTTAACTTTTTCACAAAAATTAAGATTGTGAAATGTTTAATTTTTTCCTGTCCTGAAACAGCTTTTGAGAGTAAGATAGATGACGGGGCTCAAATTCCAGGGCCTCTTATTGTACCTTCACCTTCTGAAAATGAGGGAGAGCAGTGCCAAGGTTGAAACTAGAGGTGTGACCTAGATTGGGGAAATATTTTGTTTCTTTTCTAAATCATGCCCACTGTTGCTTATGACTGTATTGATTTTAGGTGGTTTAGGCTTAGTTTCATAACCACCTCACACTGGAAAAAACAGATTTTCCATAAGCCTTTTCACAATAAACTAGAAATAGCTTCCTCTTGATGAAAATAGATATTTTAGAAGTGTCCAAGTAAAGCAAAACCAAAAAATGTATTATATCATCTAGATTTTAAGGTAGTTATAGGAATGTAACAGGGATTAATTGTGGACTGAGATTCCCATTTTATTATGATATATTCAGTGTTTGACATACTTAAAAATTGTCCTGTCTTTGAAAGCCTGAAGCTGTATCAAGAGTAAATTTCATGAATTAGGTAAATATGTGAAGTTTTTCTACATATAATTGATCCTATAAATACATAATATCATATATATTTAAATTTTATCTTTTCTTAAATGGCCTGAGGTGAGGAGGGGAGCCTTTCATTTCTTATAAAGTTTATTTGTTCATCTGTGATATCCAAGTTTAAGGTGCAGGACTGATGCCACTTGGCATACCATTCTAATGTATCATGTGAAAGTAGTTTCTGTTTGAAACTTCCAAATAGATTCTCCAGAACTGACGGGGAATTCCAGCAAGGTCACTCACCCATAGAACTTTAAAGAAGAAGAAAACAAACAAAAGGGAAAAAATTGCCTTTGTGTAAACATTAACTGCTTTTCAGTGGCTCCTTTTTTAATATTAAAGGGAGAGCAAAAGCTGGGTTTCTTTTATATTTTAAATAAGAAATAGTAAATTTAATTTATTTGGAGGTAAAGTATATATCTTTGTGGTCTATTAGATCTCTTCTGGATTGGCAAAATATCTAATGCTTAGAAAAATGGCTGTCCATGGTCTAGCCCTGAAAATACAAGGAGACAGTACAGGCATGAATTCTTAAAAAGGATTTCATTGTATTTTCCTTGGTAGTTATATCGGTTGAAACAGACCCAGTTCTTGCACTTGAAGCTTTATAAACCTGCCCTTAAATGACATCAACAAACAGACAGGCATTTGACTAAACAAACATTGCTGGATATACATGATGAATTAAAGAATTGTCATTCTGTAAATGTCTTTTGTGTTGTCTAAATACACAATGAAACATTGACTGTTTAGAAAATAGCAAGAGGAGTTATTCATCCATAGGCTGGCGGTTTATTCAGTCCTGATTCTTTAACATATTTATTTAATGTTAAAATGTGCATATATGGGGCCTCATAAAATGACAGCATAAAATGAATTTAGTTTTAATTTTAATTATTATATAACTTTCAGATCTTTTATTGTTGCAGTTGTGTCTGAGTTGGTAGAGCCTTTATGAAAGGTTCAGTATCTGACCTGTGGGGGTCCTTAGAATTTGGTGCTCTCTGTCCCTCGTGTTCCATGTACCTCATACTATTGCAGAGATAGCAGATGTATTCGCTGTCTACCTCTGGACGAAGTAGGGCTTTTCTAAAAGATGTTTATTAAGCATTGAGTAGATTCAAAATATTTATAAAATATCTTTAAGGCTTATTGGAATAATTATATAGAGATTATATGTGTACCTACAGCTCAGTTCAAAAATAGTAATATTACCATTACCTCTAGAATCTCCTGTGTACTTTTCTCTGATCCCAAACTTTTCTTGCTCCCTTAGAGGTAACCAAAGTTCTGAATTTTGTGTTAATAATCGGTTGCTTTTTTCAATGCTTTTATCATGTCTGTGTAATCCTAAACAGTTTATTGATTGATTTTATGTGTTTTTGAACTTTATAAAAATGGAATTATATTGTATGTATTTTTCTGGGACTTACTGGTTTGTTTTTTTTTCAATATTGTAGTCTTAGATTTATCCATGTCCATGCATATAGCTATTGCTCATTAGTTTTCACTGCGTTATAGTATTGCATTGTGTGAGCATTCCAGAACTTATTAGCAGATGAATTGATTGATAGACATTTGGGATATTCTCATTTTAATTATCACAAATATTGCTCCTATATATACATATATCTCTGTATATGTATCTGCCATACATATGCAAGGACTTCTGTATTGATGTTGTCTAACCTTTTTCACATCATAGCACACATAGAAAATGATAAGTAATATTTGTACAATACACTGCATTAAAGAAGCTCTCTCTCTGGCCTGGGGGGAGATCCATATCTGGGCATACCTACAATCCATTCATTGCATACTCGGGAACCATAGCACAATAGTTGGGGAGCTCTGCTAGGGTGTGTGCCTGGGAGTTGAATTGCTGGTTTTATGAACATGCTTCTTCAACTTTTCTAAGTAACAACAAATTGCAGACTTCTACTAATCTCATGATTATGATGGTCAAGTAGGAAAAAAAAGAATTTATTATCCCCTAGGATAGTGACTGAGCTTTGCTTTCTCAAAACACAATAATGTCCAAATTCCTTTAACATGTGACAGCAGAGATTTACAAGGTGATAGACAATGTTAAGAAGTGACAACGGGCCCTCACAGTTGTTATTCCTTGTGAAAGCCAACACCCTAGGCTGGATGAAAACCTGTGAGAGCTGCAGTTCTGTCTTCCACGTTTAGTGTTGCACTAGTTTTTTATTTCTAGGCCCCAAGTGATACTCTCAGACAGTGTATATAAGACGGAGCAATGAGGGCTAATTGCTATAAAACTTTTAGTTTAGAAACCCAAACATTTAGAAAAGAAGCTGGTTTGTTTGATCATTTGTAAAATTGGGTTTCTTTAAACAGTGAAAATTCCTATCAGAATTAACAGTAGAATAATAAATGATTATGATATTACTCTGTCTACTTAGATGACATCAGACTAGACAATCGATGTTAGAAAATTTACTAACCCAACATATTTTTCCCATGACATTTTCAAGAAGCTCCTGTATATTACTTACTGTTACTAATTTAATGGCTTCATACAAAAGATGCAAAAGAAATTTTTACTTGGTGGAAACACTGCCTTGTGGCCTGTAGGACGAGGCTGTTCGAAATTAGATGGAAAATATCAGAACAAGGCTTTCAGATTTACACTTAGCCTGTTTATGAAGACCTAATGCCAAAATAGGATTTTATTTTATCTAAAAATATGGAATGCTTCACGAATGTGTGTGTCATCCTTGCGTAGGGACCATGCTAATCACTCTACCATTCCAATTTTAGTATAGTGCTGCCCAGACGAGCACCCAAAGTAGTATTTTAATTTACTTTGCAGAAAATTGCATATAAAAACTGCACTTCCATTTTACTGGTATATTGTGCCCTACATATAAGTCAGGGTTTCAGCTCTTTCTGTATAATTAGAATTTGAAGCACAGTCACCAATTCTTGTGTTAATACTTGTGTTTACAGTATGTGTGTTCATGTGCACCATGTACAGTAGTCTCCTCCCCCTATCCTTGGATGCCTGAAATTGCAGATAGTGTTGAACCCTGTATACAGTAAGTCTTTACCTAATGTCGTCGATAGGTTCTGTAACTTTAAGCAAAAAGATGTATAACGAAATTAATTTTACGATAGGCTAGTTGATATAAACAAGAGTTAACTTCCTATGGCATCTCATCTACATTACAATGAAACAACACTGAACAAAATGATGTTATTCAAGGACTTGCTATATACTATTTTTTTCTATACATACACACCTATGATAAAGTTCAATTTATAAATTAGGTACAGTAAGAGGTTAACAACATTAACTAATAATAAAATAGAACAATTATAACAATATACTGTAATAAAAATTATGTAAATGTGGTTTCTCTCAAAATATGTTATTGTAGTATACTCACCTTTTCACTTAAAGGAAGCACTTTATGGCTTCTCTTTGGCATATCTGAATTGCCAGCAATGCTACTCTTGTGCTTTGGAGCCATTATTTAGTAAAATAAGGGCTACCTGAACACAAGCACTGCGATACTGAGACAGTTGATCTGACAACCCAGATGGCTTCTAATTGACTAACAGGCAGGTAGCTGTACAGCATGGATATGCTGGACGAAGGGGTGATTCACGCTCTGGGCAGGACTGAGTGGGATGGTACAAGATTTCATCACACTGCTCATGACAGCGTGCACCTTAAAACTTATGAAAAATTTATTTATGTAGATTTTCATGTAATATTTTTGGACCACAGTTAACTGTGGGTAACTGAAATTGCAGAAAGTAAAATTACAGATAACGGGGAACTACTGTATACACATATGTATGTGTAGATGCACACATACCACACATATGTACATATAGTCTATGTATGTGCATATATATGTATATGTATATGTATATATACATATAGATGTGTATATATAGTATTGGTGGTACTTAGTATATATCCATCATTCTCAGATAGCATTGATTAAGTATCTGAGTATAGTTGACACTGACTTCCCTCTAAGTGTGTAGCTAAGCTCTAGCTACAGACATAAAGAATAAATAATATATGGTTACATAAATAGCAATAGCAAATAGTGGTAAATATGACACATTTAAGATTTTGTCCATTATTTTCTTCATTGAATATGAAATATTTATTGTAATTTTCCATGTGAGGCCATAGTTCATAAAGTTATTTTTTTAACTGTAGGTATTCTTACTTTTAACAGCAAGCACACATTTCAGTGTAGCTGGCCATTGTGATCCTTACCCAAATACCCCTTACAGAAGTGGCGAGTGAATTTGTAGCCCTAGAAGTAGGAACGTGATCTCTTATGAAGATATTCTATATTTGCATTTCAGAATTTATCTTAACAGTGCATGCAAATTTTGCATTCTTCTCTCTGTTTCAACACATGTTTTTCCCAAATGAAGCTGACGCTGCATAAACACTTATCCTGTGCCCCTGGCTTGTTTGGCTCAGCGGTTAGAGAGTAGGCCCGCAGACAAAAGAGTCCTGGGTTTAGTTCCCACTAAGGGCACGTACCTCGGTTGCAGTTTGTCCCCAGCCTGGGTTGTAGTTGTGTGGGTGGCAACCACTCAATATGTCTCTCTCACATTGATGTTTCTCACTCTCACTTCCTCCTTCTCTCCTTCTCACTCTATCTGGAGATAAATGCAAAAAAAAAAAAAAGTGTCCTCGGGTGAGGATAAAAAAATAATAATAATAATCATAAAAACTTATCCCGTGGCCCCAAATATCCCAGTTTGAGAAGCATGGTAATAAATGGAATCCCATTTCCCAAAAGGCCCTTAAATCAGAAATGCTTTCTTTGTAAGAAAACGATGACTTCGGTGCCATTCGGGCTTTACTGAAAGTGTAGAAGCTTCTCTGGAGTCACCTCCTCTGCCTTCAGTGGTCTCTCAACCAACTATCTTGTCGTCTTTTGCATACCATCTCTTGGACAGTTCATTTGATGGAACATTCCTTCTTCTTTGATCTTTATTTTATTTATTTTTTATTTTTTTATCCTTACCCGAGGACATTTTTGCATTTATCTTCAGATAGAGTGGGAGGGAGAGAAGGAGGAAGAGAGAGAGAGAAAGAAACATCATTGTGAGAGAGGCACATCGAGTGGTTGCCACCCACACGACCCCTCCCAGGGCTGGCAACAGACTGCAACCAAGTTATGTGCCCTTAGTGGGAACCAAATCCGGGACTCTGGTCCACAGGCCGACGCTCTAACCTCTGATCCAAACCGGCCAGGGCTGATCTTTATTTTATTTTATTTTATTTTATTTTATTTTATTTTATTTTATTTTATTTATTTATTTATTTTTGTTACAGATGTTTCTCCTTTTCCCCCCACTGATTCCCCCCTCCTTCTCCCTCCCCACCCTGTCCCCAGCTTTGTTGTCCATGTCCATTGTTCATGCATACATGCATGTAAGTTCTGTGGTTTATCTCTCCCCTCACCCCCTCTTCTGGGGATTGTCAGTCTGTACCCCACTTTCACGTCTCTGGGACTACCTCATTCCTCAGACTGTTATGTTCCTTATATTTCACAAATAAATGAGATCATGTGGTATTTATCTTTCTCTGCTTGGCTTGTTTCACTTAGGATAAAACTTTTCAGGTCCCTCCATGTCGTTTCAAAGGATAAGAAATTTTTCTTGCTGCTGCATAGCAGTCCATTGTGTATATGTACCACTGCTTTTTTATCTATTCGTCTACTGATGGACACTGGGCTGTTTCTAGATCTTAGCTATTGTAAATAGTGCTGCTGTGAATATGGGGGTACATATATTCTTTCTGATTGGTGTTTCAGGCTTCTTAGGGTATATTCCTAGAAGTGGGATCACTGAGTTAAATGGCAGTTCAATTTTTAATTTTTTGAAGTAACACCATATTGTTTTCCATAGTGGCTGCAACAGTCTGCATTCCCACCAGCAGTGTACTAGAGTCCTCCTTTCTCTACACCCTCGCCAACACTTGTTTGATGATTTGTTGATGGTGGCCATTCTGACAGGTGTGAGGTGATACCTCATTGTTGTTTTAATTTGCATCTCTCTGATGATTAGTGATGTTGAGCATTTCTTCATGTCTCTTAGCCATTTGTATGTCCTGTTTGGAGAGGTGTCTATTCAGCTCCTCTGCCCATTTTTTAATTGGGTTCTTTGTCTTCCTTTTGTTGAGTTGTATGAGTACTCTATATATTTTGGAAATTAACCCTTTATCTGATGTATCATTAGCTATTATGTTCTCTCATACAGTGGGTTCCCTTTCCATTTTGATGGTTGTTTCTTTTGCTGTGCAGTAGATTTTTAGTTTGATGTAGTCCATGTGTTCATTTTTTCCTTTGTTTTTGTTGCCTTAGGTGATGTATCAGCAAAATTCTGCTATGTGTGATGTCTGAAATTTTGTTGTCTACATTTTCTTCTAGGATTTGTATGAATTCACAGGTCACATTTAAGTCTTTTATCCATTTTGAGTTTATTCTTATGGATGGTGTAAGTTGATGGTCTAGTTTCATTTTTTTGCATGTTTCTGTCCAATTTTTTCAACATCATTTATTAAAGAGGCTGTCTTTACTCCATTGCCACCTCTGTCAAATATTAATTGAGCATAATGTCTTTGGCCAATTTCCGGATTCTCTGTTCTGTTCCACTGATCTATACGCCTGTTCTTGTGCCAGTACTGGGCTGTTTTGTTTACAGTAGTGTTGTAGTATAACTTGATATCCGGTATTGTGATCCCACCTACTTTGTCCTTCTTTTTCAAGATTGCTGTGGCTATTCGGGATTTTTTTTGGTTCCATATGAACTTTTGAAGTATTTGTTCTAGTTCTATGAAATATGTCTTTGGTATTTTGATGGGGATTGCATTAAATCTATAGATTGCTTTGGGTAGTATGGACATTTTAATGGTATTAATTCTTCCAATCCATGAACAAGGTATGAACTTTCACTTTTTTATTTCTTCCTCTATTTCTTTTTTCAATGTCCTGTAGTTTCTGCAAATAGGTCCTTTACTTCTTGGTTAAATTTATTCCTAGGTATCTTAATTTTTTGCTGTGATGGTAAATGGAATTGTTTTTTAGTTTCTCTTTCTGTGAGTTCATCATTGGTGTATAAGAATGCCGTAAATTTCTTGACATTAATTTTGTATCCTGCTACTTTGCCAAATTTATTTATTAAGTCTAGTAGATTTTTTTATGGAGTCTTTAGGGTTTTCTATGTATAATATCATGTCATCTGCAAATAATGACAGTTTTACTTCCTCCTTTCCAATTTGGATCCCTTTTATTTTTTCTTCCTGTCTGATTGCTGTGGTTAAGACTTCCAGTACTATGTTAAATAAGAGTAGCAAAAGTGGGCATCCCTGTCTTGTTCCTGTTCTTAAGGGAAATGCTTTTAGTTTCTGCCCATTGAGTATGATGTTGGCTGTAGGTCTTTCATATATGGCCTTTATTATGTCGAGATATGATCCCTCTATTCCCACATTGCTGAGCATTTTTATCAGAAATGGATGCTGGATTTTGTCGAATGCTTTTTCAGCACCTATTGATATGATCATGTGGTTTTTATCTTTCAATTTATTTATGTGGTGTATCACATTTATTGATTTGCGAATATTGTACCAGCCTTGCATCCCTGGGTTGAATCCCACTTGGTCATGGTGAATAATTTTTTTGATGTATTGCTGGATCTGATTTGCTAGTATTTTGTTCAGGATTTTGACGTCTATGTTCATCAGGGATATTGGCCTACAGTTTTCTTTCTTTGTAGTATCTTTTTCTAGTTTTGGAATTA